GTCACAGCCCGCAGAGGTAACGTACATACTGTTCATCTAATCTAAATATTGATGAGAAAACATTCTGGATTATGCTTGGAAGAATCTGTGCATTGAGTTCATTGAAGTTTTCTTGTGATTGTGTACTAAGTAAGGTCCTTTGACTAAATGGTTGCTCTTGTTTCTGCCTCAGACACACCAGAAAGATGTAAAAATTGAAGAAGGAAAGCCACGGGTTGACATTGATGTAAGTAATTGTCACAAGGCTTCATATTTGTAAGCAGGGCATCATTTCATTTTCACTCTAGAATATTTTCATTTTCACTATAGGATATTTTCCTGATTGGTTGTGTGAGATCCCACATCGGTTGGAGAGGGGAACGAAGCATTCTTTATAAGAGTGTGGGAATCTCTCCCTAGCAGATGCGTTTTAAAAACCTTGAGATGTAGCCCGAAATAGAAAGCTCAAAAAGGACAATATCTACTAGCGGTGGGCTTGAGCTGTTATACATGTACAAAGGACAAGACTTGAAATGGGTTTAGTTTCATTTCAGGACTAAGTATTTATTCGGCTGCCTACATGGTGGATGGAAGTAATACAATCCTCTATATCACGAAACTTAGGCATGTTGCTCATATTCTTTCTTACTAAGGAACCAGTTTTTGATCTCTGTTTATTCTCCTAATGTCAAATTACAGAAAGAATTGGAAGGATTAGATGAGAAAATAAAGTTATGGTCAGCTGGCAAGGAGACCAACATCCGCTTGCTACTTTCTACGCTTCATTACGTAAGTTCTTCAGTGTTGAATAACATCGTTCACATCTCCCTCCTCTTCATGTTATAGCCTTTGATCTAACAACATGCAGCCATTGTGTGGGATTAATACAGATATTGTGGTCAAGTAGTGGGTGGTCTCCAATATCCTTGACAAACCTCATTGGAGGCTCACAAATGAAGAAGGCTTATCAAAAAGCAAGATTGTGTCTCCACCCAGACAAGCTGCAGCAAAGAGGAGCGACAATGCTGCAAAAATATGTTGCGGAGAAGGCTTTTACCATCCTTCAGGTAACTTTTTGTTCATGCAACATAATTAATGGCCATCCTATGTAATCACGAACTCAAACACCAGATCAACAGTTTTGATTTTGTTTGTCACTGTTCTTTAATAGGAAGCATGGGCTGTATATCTATCCCAAGATGTTTTCCTCAACTAGAGCCTAAGTTTGTGAAGCTCAAGAAAGTAGCAGCAAATCTGGAACATTCACAAGGTGATACTCATTTTGCATTAAGAATTCGAGAGTGGACCTGATTATGTATTAAGAAAGTTGTGTCTAAAACAGAAAATCAGGTAAACTCCGGTCTGTTCTGTATGTAAGATATGTCTGCATATATGTGAAGTGTATGTGTAGACTTGTATTTCATTGTGCAGCTACATTCTAAAGATGATTGCTGAACACTTGCGCTTTGCATTTGTACAAACACATTTGGATAGATTTATATAAATAGATGTTCAGACCCATGTTCTTTCCTTGTTACGGAGAAGTTATGAGATCTCACATCGATTGGAGAGAGGAACGAGTGTTAGCAAAGACGCTGGGCCCCGAAGGAGGGTGGATTGTAAGATCCCACATCGGTTGGAGAGGGGAACAAAACATTCTTTATAAGGGTGTGGAAACCTCTCCCTAGCATATACATTTTAAAAACCTTGAGGGGAAGCCCGAAAGGGAAAGTCCAAAGAGGACAATATTTGCTAGCGGTGGGCTCTGGCTTGAACGATTACAAATGGTATCAGAGTCAGACACTGGGCGATGTGCCGGCAAAGACGCTGAGCCCCAAAGGGGGTGGATACCGAGCAGTGTGTCAACGAGGACACTAGGTCTCGAAGAGGGATGGATATCAGGTGGTGTGCCAGCAAGGAGGTTGGGCCCTAAAGGCAGGTGGATTGTGAGGTCTCACATCGATTGGAGAGAAAAACAAAACATTATTTATAAGGGTGTGAAAGCCTCTCCCCAGCATTCCCTAGCAGACGCACTTTTAAAAACCTTGAGAGGAAGTCTGAAAGGGAAAGCTCAAAGAAAATAGTATGTATCAGCGATGGGCTTGGACCGATACAGAAAGGGGCAAATACAGAAGGGATTCTGTTATTGCCATCTTGTGAACTAGTGATTTTTTGCATGCACAAACCTGAATTAAAGGGGGCAAAGACAGGAATTCATACAGAAAATTTGACCATTGAGGAGTTGAAGTGAGTCTACTGCTTAATCTTGCTTGAGCTATGATTAACTATAAACGTGAAAGATAACATTCATCAACTTAAAGAATGTCGATCAAAATGAGAACCATATCAGAAAAACCCATATCATGATGGAACCCAGATGAGTTTGGATAGATCAACAGTGAAAGTATGGAGGATTAGGAGTATGAAACCCAGATCAGAAAAACCCATATCATGATGAACTGCCACTGCTCATGAAGCTTTTATAAGTCAGAGTGATTTACAGAGTAAAACATAATGGGGCAAGAAAAGAAAAGATTAGCCTCCCTTTCTAAGCCACAAAGAAGAGAGAGAGAGAGAGAGAGAGAGATTCAACCACCCTCTTCTCTTAACAACTCTTTAAACTCATCATCAGTGGCCTTGAGCATAAGAGGCAAAGCCACGTTCTTTCCACTCTGCACTGTCTCCACATACCTTGGCTTTATCCTCTTCTCCAAGCTGAACCCAAAATACTGAGGGAAGTCCTTGAGCTCCTCCACTTTCCTCTGCATCTCTCCGGAGAAATACTCAAACTTAGGCTTTAAGTTATTTTCAATGCTGAAAGTGAGCAGAGCCGGACACCTTAAAACCATCCCCACAGTTTCACTCCTCGAGAATCCCAAACTCTGCAAATACTTGAGTTTGGGAATCAAGGTCTTCTCCACACTTGAAACCAGCAAAGCAGAGTCCTGGTAAGCCAAGGCCTCCAAATCCTTAAACCCAAGTCTTTGTAGGTAAAATAAAGCTGGTTTCAGCTGGTCTTTGGCACTTGAAGCAAGCAATCTAGGGCACTTGTTAATGACCCTTCTGAAATTCTGATCTGGGATTTTAAGGTCTTCTGACAGGAAGCTGAAAACTGGGATTAAGTCAGCTTTAACATCGGACGTGAGGATTTTGGGACACATTCCAAAGATCTTAGCGAAGTCCTTTTGGTGAATTCCTTTGGATTGGAGAAAGGATATCACAGAATGAATGGATTCAAGAGTTACAGAGTGGAGAGAAGGATTCTGGGAAAGAGCCTTTCCAGCATCCACACCCATGATTTCAAGGCAGAGGATTTTCTCTTTGATTTGGGAAGATAGAGTGGAATGAAGCGGCGTGTAGAGAGGATGCTTGTGGAAGAGGCTTTTGGGTTTGGCGGCCAAGAAAGTGTTTGGTTGCTGAGAATTTAAGGGAGAAACAGAGAGTTTATGAGAGGAGAAGCAGAAAGAAGAAGGAAAAGCAGCTGCAGGCATGGTGGAGGGACAGAGATGGCCTTCTACTGTCCAGAAGGGACATCGATTCAGTGTAAGTATATATTTTATGGGAATTTTGTGGAAGATGATTGGCTGAGATTGGATTTCGAAGATTGTTTTTGTTTGGGTGAGGAATCGGCTCAAAGGCCTCAAACTTTGTTGGTGGGTTTCATCACATTTTATCTCTGTTTTATCTCTGGAGCTGATACGATACCCATTCTCATTCTTATCTCAATATCATTTAATGGCAAAAATTACACTTTTTAAAGCTCTGGCAGTATACCTACTTTAGCATGCTTATATTAACTTTCGAAATTGTAGATATAATGTTTATTGAAAATTCAATAGTTTATTGAAAAGATCAACTAGTATTACTATAAATATATATGATTGTTGGTTTAGTGCAAGGTTTATTGCTTTAGAGAGTTCTTTTATTTCTTCCACACCATCAACAACAGAATGAATTTAATGGTCATCTCCAGCCCTTATCATTAACACTGATTGACAGAGCAGTGATAAATCTACTTCTAATACATATCTGTAAGCTACAACAGTTCCAGTATGTTTTCAAGACTACAATTATTTGAAATATAAATCCGTTACATCGACTCGGGATAATCACCTTCACGAAGACTGAAAAGCGTTTACAATTACAACAGACATAAACAGAGAGATGCTATAACTAAAAAAAACACTGCAAAACCAATCATTCTGCAACAAGAAACATAAAAAGTTATGAAGTTACTCGAGTGTTCTCCAAATGGAACACGAGCAAAACCAGCACTGGAAAAATTATAACTCGAGTCGGTTTTACTTGGCTCTGGAAAAAGAAATGAGGAAGGCTAAGTCAGAATCATGCCGTCCTGCATTGCCTGGTTTCCTTTCTCGCTTCAGCTCAAGACTGTGTTTCCTAAAACTAGATGTCCATTCATCAGCAACAAACTAGCAGAGTGCTGACAAGAAACATGATATTCAGCAGATATTTCTTATAGTTAAGAGATGACAGTATGTGAGTTTGTGAATACTTTCAATTCGGAGCTCATGACTCAAGGTTTCCCTGGCTTCTGCTGGCTGAGTGTTGTCGCAGCAGTTTTTTACCACGATGATCGTCCTGCAAGAGAATATTCGAATTGATGTAGAGGATACTATATTCAGTGATTTAACATTCAGATACTGTTTTATTTTTGTTCCAATTTCCAGCAAGGTACTAAGAAAGTTGAAGTAAAAGACAGACAATGACGATAATAGAATCGAATCTAACCCTCGAGCAATACCCTTCACAAGGAGAGTTGATGTCTCCTTGGACCATTACCTACTGCTTATCCCTCCTCCAATACCAAATCCTTAGAGTTCTTGAACGAATTGCTATAAATTTTAAAATAAAGAGACAATTTCATAGACAACCCCAAGCCAAAGCAAAATAGAGAACAGGCTCTCAATTGAACAAGAGTGAATTAGAAACCATAGTTGTTGAAAAATTTAAGTGTATACCAAGATAGAGCTATAAAGAAAAAAATTAAGAGGCAACGATAAGGAAACTTCTAGACGAGCAAGGTTATGAGGAAACTACTATTTGTGATTCTATAATACAGCAACGTATCTCAATGTATTACATTGTACCTCCATTCTTTAATGCTACGTTCTAGATCATTTTTTGTGCTTCCTTCTTTTCCAATCTCTACCTCTTACTCCATATCAAAGGGTTCATGTCTTCGAGAAACTTTAGGGACCTAAAAAGATGATACTCTAAACCACAGATGTCATATTTAAAGGGCAGTTCCTCCATACTGTCTTTTCCGATTTTGCATTTTCAGCAAGCACATGCAGGTGGCTGAAGACATAGGTTACCACTGACTAGTTTATTATCAGTTCTATTCTTATATTTAGGCCACTTGTTACAGAGTTCTGGTTTAAATCGGGACCGTGAGTTTTCTTGTAGACATTTGGCGAGGAGAGTTCCTCTATCATCCTTCGTTGGTTGAGGCAAGGTTGTTCCTTCGGGGACATCCGATAAAATTGGAAGGTTCGTTGGCAGGGCATATGGTTCACAGTTGTTATGTGGGCTCTTTGGTTAAAAACATGAGTTTTCCTAAGATGTTAGAGATTTGTGCACTATGCCGCCCTCTAATGCTTTCTCCATTTGGCGGAGAAAAGAAATTTATCATTTTCTCATTGTTGATGAAATGAGTGGTGTTGCTATGTTGTTCTTAAGTTTGTTTTCCTAAGGTAAACTAGCTCTACCACCCATATGATGGAAAAGAGTTATTTTCCCGACAGGACTTGCATAAGAAGACACATAAACTTGACCCTTGAGCTTCTGGCACTTAAGATGATCCTTTAAGCCCACATTCGCAGGTTTGAAAGTCATCAACCCATATTACATTTGAGATTGTGACAATATACGTGCTTCGATGAGGTTTCTTTTCTTACCCCCCAAAAAAAAGGTTTTTTTACCATACCGAGTCGAGGTGATTTTCTCCCACAAAAGGCACGCACTGCACCCTTTTTAAACAGGGGACAAAATAAACTTTGCCAATAAGGTTATTGCACCATAGATTTCTACAATGATGATGACAACAACCCACAAAGTTAAGGAGTGCAATTTTATGGTTATGCTATTGAGTGCCCTGCAGCCATAATTTTTAGCTTATATAGAATCAAGAATTCATGTATTGCTTCAATGAAAAGAGAAATAAGATCTGCTTTCATTTTTCTATGATTTGTAGAAAGACAAAATATGTATTAGAAGGAAACCAACCTTGTAAAGAGATGCTGCTGACTCAGATTGCAACGTCTGAACTCCTGTACGCTCGAGGGATTGCAGAGCATTGAGTGCATCTAACGTCAGCTGCCAGCCACTAAGAGCAACTGCATCGGCATTGGAGCCACCACTCGTACTGCCAGCAGCAGCAACATTTCCATTTACCCAGGGGCAAAATTGATTGTGATGGACAATCGGATCAAACTCTATTTCATAACTGCTTTCCCCTCTTTGTGGCTCTGAAAAAGAAAGGGTTCAACATCAGAAACAGAAGAAAATAGGAATAAAATGTTTCATGAGGTCAAATCGCTACGTCAGAGATTTAAGAAACAACACATACACCTTCCAATCAGCCCATATCAAATGGTAGATTAAGTTATAAATCCAGATTCTCGCGTTAGTTTTCAAGATTCTATAGCCACAGTATCAGTAAACTATTCACAAGCTAAGATTTTGAGGTAACGAGGACAATTGAAAACCGAAAGTAAAAGGACAGATGTTGAAGGAGGTAGTAGCTAGGTTTCTCGTTTACTACACCAGGTTCTACTATGCTGAATTCTAAAACTATACCTGCATTTGGATCGTCGATCTTATTTTGTCCATGAGTTGGTCGTGTATCAGCATTGTGACTGCTATTCACTAGGATTGTTTTGCAACTCTGACTTGTTTTTCCACCACTTTCAACAGAATCGTCTTTAGCAGAGCCATCTATTTTTGATCCACTATCAGCTCTTTCTACTGGCCGAGAAAACATCTCTTGGCTATCACCATGAGGGTCTTCCCTGATAATGTCCTCCGGCACAATCTCATCCATTAGTCCAGGATCAGGGGCAGACTCACCAGTTTGTCCCTGATTCTCGGCATCTTCTATTCTGGGTTCAACATCACCAACAACACTATCAGTCCTATGAACCGATGCATCAGCCCCATGAATTTCAGCCTCATGACTTGCACACATTCCAACACTTCCACCACTGATTCCAAAACTAAACACATCTCTTGCCTGAGTAGTGATGGTATCAGCATTGAATATTTCTTCACCGTTATTTGTACTACTCACACCCATTTCACCAGGAACTTCAGAAGCCGGTCGAAGAAAAACGCTCTGCTGAGCTTGATTGCTATGTATCAATTCTGACATTTCATTATTGTCTAAATTCCCATGTGTACTGGAAGAGGGGAAATGAACATCATCGACATCCCCAGGATAATTCTCAACACTTTCCATAGAGTCCTCACCATCATTATGACACAATGTGTCCATTGCAATGACAGATGATGCACGGGTCGAATCCCTAGCTGATTGAATTCCAGTGCATTGATCACCTCCTTGCTGAAATGAATTAAATTTTTCCCCATCCATGCAAAGGTCTAAACCCATGGAATGACTTGGACCAGCACCTGCAGAATCTCTTTGATACGAACAAAAAGTGTCAAAAAATTCAGAATTGCGAGTACGTTTTGAAGGGCCAGCTGAATATTGTCTATCGTCTGTAACTTCATCACCGTCACGATCTATAACAGTTCCTTCAACACTATCGGCTTGATGCATCCTTACTAGTGCCCTGTCATCTGAACTCCCATCTTTATCCAAACTGCGTTTGCGGGAGCTAGGACCTCTTGATTCATATGAAGCAGCACGATCACCAACCTCACTGCCTGAAGGTTGCCCGATCATTAGATCCCTTCCCAAATCCCCGTTCAGAATATGTTCATTGGTTGCGTTCTTTTCTGATTGAGAAACATTTAAGCCCCCTGCCATTGTCAGATTCAAATCAACATCCGTGTTCGGTAGTAAGCGTGCCTCATTTGTTGTCGCTACTTCATCACGATCTTCAATACGTTCTTTATCAGCATCTTCGGCAGTCACCCATCCATTAATTCCACTAGCTGCACTTACTCCACGAGTCAGTCCCATTTTCTTACTTGAAGAAGGAATGTCAATGTTGTTAGGGGCAAAATGAGCCGGCCGAGAAATCGTTAGGAAGTCCAATATCCTAACTGTAGCACCACATATGCTACAATCTAGTATAGGTGATCTAAATTCACTTCTAGAGTCTTCAACCACCAATTTACCCTTTCCAGTGTCCTTTTTAACGGAAGTAGAGAGTGCTTTCTTGCTTCGAGATGCATCATGCGAAAGATGCAACTGAGCCTCAGTAGGACCAAAAGAACATCCATTTCGAGCTGATTGTGCAGAATGCTCTTCACAGTCTTGAACATCTAAGTGCCATCTTGGTTCCCATCCACAAAGGCTAATAATTTTCTGTGCCTGAAAAATGAAAAAACAAAAAATAATTAGATATGATAAAGCATCAGCTGAAGAATAAATGGGATTTAAAATATTGACCAAAAAATATCATTAAAAAATTAGCCTACTTGAGAATACAAATAGAATGCTCTATCTTGAGAGCTTTCAAGAAGTTCACGTGTACCCTCCGGTTTTACACCTACTTCACCCATGGTGACATTCGGGGATTGTGCCAAAAAGCGATCAAGCTGTGCACTCCGACAAATTCGCAATTGTTCGATTGCAGAAGCAGCTACAGAAGGCAAAGATTGAAACTGCAGAAGTCCATCACATCTATCCTTAAATCCTCCAACTAAAGCAGACTGGGGTGTTGGAGGGAACTGCACCAAACTTTCAGGGCAGCTATTTCCTCTCCAAGGACAAGAGACTTTGTGCCCAGAATCCAGCTGCTTTGTAAACTCAGCAAGTTGAACTTCAATAACACCCAAAAAGGAGAATCAAGAGTCATTATTATCAGCCATTCAGAATTCACAAGTTAATTAGTGAACTATCAAAAAGAAAAACCTCAGAATTCACGTGTTGATATACTTTTTCGTTTTATGTGTGTGTTGGTGTGAGTGGGAGGGTGCCTAATAGAAAACCGTATATATTTTAGTAATGGCTCTCCATTAATGAATCTAACCTTCTGCAGATGTCCATGACTGTAGTAATTCAAAGCTCAAACTGTTACCACAAGATTCACATTCAATTTTATCAACATCGACGTTCATCCAACCTCTCTGTGCACATGCAAGTGAATTGACTACCTGCGAAAGTTCAAGAAAGAATAATATTCCTAAGCTTCAAAATGCATTGCCAGTAAAATATTTTTCATCAGTACTTTAAATAGTTTAAGAGATAAAAATAACGTTGTAAGGAAAAAGAACTGAGATATAAAATCCCAAGCAGATTCCTAAGTTTCAATTAATTAATAAAACTATTCTTATTTTATAAAAAATGACAACCAAAACCATCACTTTACATCGGTTCCACCTATAAACCAACTGAACTTATCCAGTAGTTAGAGAATTTTTCTTCACTTAAATTAAGCACAGGATAAAGAAATGACCAGGTTTGAATTAAAGAGATGAGAAGGTTTTCTTCACTTAAATTAAGCTCAAGAGATCACCTATGTATAAATTAACAAGATAAAGAGATGACCAGGTTTGAACTAATTCATGGAATATAATTGGATACAAGGTCAACTTTTATGAATTGTTAATACTTCCAAGAATAAGGCAACAAAGAAAGACTAAAATCTGCTCAATAATCCTCCCAATAAACCCAAGAGAACAAACAGTTTCCCTGTTTAAGCGAGAAGTAATGAAAATCCTAATGCTCTAACGAGCAAGTTCTAGAACTGAGGTTTCCATATCAAACACAATCCTCTCCAGTTAAAATATGAGTTGAAAATTATATAATTGAGCTTTATGCAATGGGACCAGGTAGCCAAGTAAAACATATACTGCATGATTTATGTAAATAATCATAAAAATTATAACCTTCGGTTTTCCAAACCAATTTCCAGGCTTAAAGGTAGCCAAACGCCTTAGCAAATCCCCCCTTTCCCATGGTCTGCAAGAGTATCTCGACATGCCGAAAGCAGAACCACCAACACCAGTGCTCAAGGAAGGCTGAGGTGGTTGTGAACCCACACAAGATAAAGACGCAGCTTTTGAACCAAGTCCACGAATTGATCCATCAACACTTCCAATATTTGTTGGAACAGCAGGTGATGAAGCTCCAGCAGAACTGATAAGATTCAAAGAGCAACAAGAACCAAGCAAGACAATGTGAATTCAAATGATCAAACTGCATCTAACCCTTGGATTATTACCCACTCAGATAATAGCATGTATACTCTTAGAGTTGGGTTGAATATGACCCTCGATATCATATACAGCTCCTAAAGCAAAATTTTATTCAACCCAAACATGTGATTTAAGCTCCCTCATTGAACACAAAAATTCCTAGCCGTTGCTGATCATGTAACAAAAGAAACCCATAACCCTTTCGCACCCGCCTCACATTACGAGCATAAACACAGTAGATCTTCTTCCGCGCGACAGACACCTAACAACCGTAAATTAACAATTTCCCTCTTACTAAAAAAACAATTACGAGGGAAGATTTTCAAACTTCACTTTCATTCTAAACAACCAATTAGGGTTGGCGTCCCAAGTTGAACAATTCCCCACCACAAAATCGCCCCAAAACAGCGGACAAGAAGAAAATTGTAAAACCCTAGGTTGACCAAATACAAGAGACTCATAGAAGTAATGAAAGGCGGAGCGGTACCTGGCGGCCGGAGTTGGATCGACAGTTCCAGCTGAGCTGATAACCTCTTCCCTCATTCTCACGAATTGATTTTGTTCTGGAATTTTTCAGTAGCTGTGTTGAAAGAAAACAAACAGGTCCAGAAAAATTGAAACTTTCCTTCGAGTCTTTCTTGCTTTTATAGTTGGGACCGCTAACTGACATTTGTGCCATTAATTAATTAATATTTAAATTTAAAACTATCACGTGGATTTTATCATATCATATGGATAAGGTCCAGAAATACTCAATTTTCTCTTTCATTTCAAAAATATTTTTATTTTTCGAAAATTATAATATTAATTTTTTAAAAACTTTCTTTCAATTAAAAATTCTTTCACATTTCCAGGCATATTATGTGATATAACATAAATCTTAATTTTCATTTAAAATTTTTAAAAAATATTTCTTTTAAGAGTAATTTTGAAGAGTTAAAAAATGTCAAAATAATATTAAATTTTAAAATTAGGTTGAAAATTTAAAATTTTGATCGACAAAATATTACCACCTATACTCATTGAGCTTTTAAAAATACTCGAAATAGTAGCTACTTGACTATTGATGTGTGGATCCAGAGACCAAGTATGCCTCAAGTTGGCTACCCATGTCGGTCATTGAATGGTTGTTTTGTTCTATATATTCAATTTAGTACTTTGTGTGGTCTTATATCTATTACGCTCAATGGGATTGGTTCTCTCTATTACAACGAGCAAACAAGAATTATTAATTGAATTGACACCTAAAATAGTAGGGTGCGTCCCTTTCTTGGTAATCGATACTTTACCTTAGCTTGGTTTGAGGAGATAGCTATGAGGCCTTTTTCTATTCGAGAGTGTATGCCCTAGGTGGGCCACGATGGACCCAAAGCCACTCGCTACATAAAATTATTCTTTTAAAAAATAAATATTTATAATTTAATGTTTGTCATTACTTTAAAAAATATATATATTATGATTACATTTACGTTGCCTATAAGTTTACAATCATCATACATCTAAATTGTCTAGTTTATGTTCAACATTAAAAATGTTAAAAATGTCTAATAATTTTTTAAACGGCTAATTTTGTATTTAAAATGTTCTTAGTATTTTTTTTTTTTTTTTTTTTTTTTTTTTTAAAA